TTTATTTTTAGAAAAAAACTATCATTTCTTTAAAAACTTTTTTCTCTAAAATATTATTTGTTTTCTCTCTAACTTTTTAAGTTTGACTCTCATCTATCTATGAATTAAAGACTATAAATGGATTTACAACAAAGAGATATACATTTTTAATCAACTAGAATCTTAAATTGTTAAACTCATCTTTCGTTATTTTTCTGAGTTTCTTTTAGTAAATCAGATGCATGTAAGAGTTATTGAGCTTGCATGTGTCATTGAGGGTATGTTAAAACTTGTTGATTTGAGTGTTTTGTGTGCCAATATTTCTTGTGTGAGTAGAGGTCTTTAGGAGCAATTAGAAAGGGAGAGGAGTGGATTGGATGTCAAAACATGGTGTTGGCAGAGAGAGCGCACTTGGTGGAACTACATCTTGTTAAAAAGAACAATTACTACAAGAGATGAGGACAATTAGCTAACAAAATTAATATCATAATTGCATATACTAATACAATTATAATAACACAATATTATGAATTAAAGTATAAGCTCATAACACTCCTATACTTAAATCAAATTCACTATACAATAACACATTGTTAATCAAAACTTCAATCCAGACAAACCATGCCACCACCACCAATCATTATTGCCATATGTCATCTTCCAAACTCCAGTACACACGATTTGTTCAGTAAAACAAGGTCTAGTCACCAAAGTAGGACTTCAAATTCACCAAAATAGGGCCTGCTCACCAAAGCAAGTCTTGCTTGTTCACTCACTAAATCAAGGCCTACTCACCAAATAGGACTTTCCTGATCACCAAAACAGGGCTCGCTCACCAAAGTAGGACTTCCTCGCATCACAGCTGGTGAGTACGTAAGACGACGTATGATCCATTGTCGCAACACAATAAACACAACAAAATGGCTTATTACACAAACATCATGGAAAAACGACCACAACACCTCATACATCAAACTACATGTTTGAGAAACACCACAACACATCACAGAAAAACACATCAAATAACTCGACAATCACTCAAAACAACTTGACACTCATTCAAAACAACCTATCAATCACATTCAATATCTCGACACATGTAAAGCATATCTTGACAACTTCATACAACAACATGGCCATAATAAAAAATAGTCATGACAACACGCCCAACAACATAGCAACAGTCTGAAAACACACCCAATAGCAAGGCAAGTTAATTTAAAGCCTGCAACAACAAACTAAACTTAAAACAGAAACAACAATATGAATTTTAAAATAGAAATAACAACCTGAATTTCAAACAGAAACAATAAACTAAATTTCAAACTAAAACAAATTGAATTTTTCAAACAGAAACAACAAAGTGAATTTCCAACAAAAACAACAAATTGAATTTCAAATGGCAACCACAACTACATACCAAATTTAAAACAACAACATCATACCAAATTTAAAACAACAATAGTCAATTACTAAACCAAACCAACATTTATATAATTTACATATTTAACAAATGTCAAAACCATGACTAGGTTAAAAAAACACAAAATTCGTCAATTTCCAAAAAGTATTTTATAAATTATAATAATACATTTTCCTTTTATATAATCTATAATTTTCTGATCCTTTGTTTGTTTGAAGTGGTTTACTATAGATTTTATGTGTGTTTATGGTAGATTTGTGATGCTTCATGAATTATAACATGGTTGTGAATATGAATGACGTATGTTGTGAAAGGAATTTCAAGGAAAAGCTTCTTATATAATGGTATCAATAGTGTATGTATTGATGTATGAATTTTGTATTAGGGGTTATCTTGATACTCTAACAATTATTCAATCTATAGTAGAAAATGGTGAGATATATGGTGAAAGGATCATAAGGTCCTAGTCTAGAGGCTTTACCTTGGCCTAAGACATTAACAGACTAACCTTGTGTGTGGTAGGGCTCAATGTTGGGTGTGCAAAGCTTCTAATATTAAAAGTTGAACGTATAAATAGAATTTCTATTAACAAGTTTCATAATCTTAAATTGCACCATCTCTCCAAAAATATTTCTTTAAGAACTCTCTACCATCTCATAAGCTTTATAATTTCTTGTTCATTTGTCTTAAGATCAGATATCGCCTAAGGGATCCTTAAGGCGAGATCTTCTACTTCATTCGATCAGATTCTACAAAAGAGGAAGGGAAGTTGTTCTAGAATCCTTAGAGTTGTTTGGGCATCTAACAGGTAAGGAAAGTTAAATACCTTGTTTTAAGTTTTGATGCCATGAGAATTTGTTCCTGCATGTTTAGTTGGTTTGAGATTGAAGGAACTGCTAAAATTGTTGGTTGAATTGTTGAGAAATCTATTTGTGTAGTATGGTTGTGATGCTTGTTTTTGTTTGAATTGGTGTTGAGTTGAAAGACAAAGGATTTGGCCATTTAAGCAAATTGGTATGCATTTTGACACTGAAACTTGTTTTTAAACCAATCACTGAGTCAAGAATATCAATTTGATCATTTGAATAGGTCCTTGGTTCCCCAAATCATAGTTTTGAATGTGCAAATTTTTTATATGGCGTTGAGCATAGCTGGTGTGGCACTAAGCGCAGCTTGGCTGTGCAAGTCTAGAAGCAATTTTGGTCCAGACTGTTAAGCGCTCACTCTTATCGTTGAACGGCCAATTTTATGAATGGTCTCGTGTTAGCGGTGAAAGAATATCGTTGAGTGCCACTTTCCACTACAAGTCTGGAACATTTTTCATCATGATTTGCTGAGCGACAAGTTGGTCTTGCTAAGCGAGACATTTTGCGAGAGTTGTGGCACTGAGCGCCAGAACTAGCATTTAATGCTCCATCTTGCAAGGGGTTTTGCACTAAGCATCACTTTGAGCATTAAAGTGGTTTTCTGTGATTTGTTTTATCCTTTGATAATTTGAAGTGGTTTATTTTAGATTTTATGAATGTTTATGGTGGATTTATGATGCTTCGTGGATTATAACATGGTTACGAGTATGAATGGTGTATGTTATGAAAAGAATTTCAAGGAGAAATTTCTTATAATGATATCAACAATGTATGCATTGATGTATAGATTCTGCATTAGGGGTTATCTTGACGCTATAATAACAAATAATTTGAAGTAGAGAAAGGTCGGGTATGTGGTGAGAGGAGCAAAAGGTCCTAGTCTAAGGGCTTTACTTTAACCTAAGACATTAATAAACTAACCTTGTGTGTTGGGTGAAAATCATTGGCAATGGCTCTGTAGAGTAATAAAGGCCACCACAACTGCATAACCAACTAGAGTCCGACATCAATACATGTATTCGGATGGTCAAGTCAAAAATGAATGATTGTATGCCTTAGGATTGGTTGATATAACTTTATATATGTGTGAACATCTATATTTTGTTGTATGAATGTTATTTTTGTAAATTATCTTACCTTTCTATCTTTGTTTGTTTGTGTGTTTGTTTTCTTGTTTACAATTTTCATCTTAATGGTGTGAGCATATATGGATGTCTCTCTTGATTAGGTATAGGATGGTGATTGTGCTTAAGTATAAATTATGATGTTTGTTCCTTTGTCTTTATCTATTTTGAAAGAATTTATTATGCTTAGTAGCATAGGATCATTGTATATATATTTTGGTGTTATAGTTATACTTAAGGATATTGGTAATAACATTTTATATGATTTTTTTAGTTAACTATCTTCGATATTGAATGTGTGATTATTTTTATAGTAGTTCAACACTATTAGAAATAGGATGTTACAAAAGTTATAGGGGGTAATCATTGTAATGGAAACGGACTCNAGTTTCTTTTAGTAAATCAGATGCATGTAAGAGTTATTGAGCTTGCATGTGTCATTGAGGGTATGTTAAAACTTGTTGATTTGAGTGTTTTGTGTGCCAATATTTCTTGTGTGAGTAGAGGTCTTTAGGAGCAATTAGAAAGGGAGAGGAGTGGATTGGATGTCAAAACATGGTGTTGGCAGAGAGAGCGCACTTGGTGGAACTACATCTTGTTAAAAAGAACAATTACTACAAGAGATGAGGACAATTAGCTAACAAAATTAATATCATAATTGCATATACTAATACAATTATAATAACACAATATTATGAATTAAAGTATAAGCTCATAACACTCCTATACTTAAATCAAATTCACTATACAATAACACATTGTTAATCAAAACTTCAATCCAGACAAACCATGCCAACACCACCAATCATTATTGCCATATGTCATCTTCCAAACTCCAGTACACAAGATTTGTTCAGTAAAACAAGGTCTAGTCACCAAAGTAGGACTTCAAATTCACCAAAATAGGGCCTGCTCACCAAAGCAAGTCTTGCTTGTTCACTCACTAAATCAAGGCCTACTCACCAAATAGGACTTTCCTGATCACCAAAACAGGGCTCGCTCACCAAAGTAGGACTTCCTCGCATCACAGCTGGTGAGTACGTAAGACGACGTATGATCCATTGTCGCAACACAATAAACACAACAAAATGGCTTATTACACAAACATCATGGAAAAACGACCACAACACCTCATACATCAAACTACATGTTTGAGAAACACCACAACACATCACAGAAAAACACATCAAATAACTCGACAATCACTCAAAACAACTTGACACTCATTCAAAACAACCTATCAATCACATTCAATATCTCGACACATGTAAAGCATATCTTGACAACTTCATACAACAACATGGCCATAATAAAAAATAGTCATGACAACACGCCCAACAACATAGCAACAGTCTGAAAACACACCCAATAGCAAGGCAAGTTAATTTAAAGCCTGCAACAACAAACTAAACTTAAAACAGAAACAACAATATGAATTTTAAAATAGAAATAACAACCTGAATTTCAAACAGAAACAATAAACTAAATTTCAAACTAAAACAAATTGAATTTTTCAAACAGAAACAACAAAGTGAATTTCCAACAAAAACAACAAATTGAATTTCAAATGGCAACCACAACTACATACCAAATTTAAAACANGTTTCAATTAACTTTCCCTCTGAACAATAAAACACAGAGCGGTGGCGTCAATTCCCTAACTAAGTAGCTACCACTAGTACTGTATGTGTATGAAGAGAGAAACAGAGAACAGGAGAGAAAGAGGACTCAACAGGAGTGAAAGTGCAAAGCGTGTGGAAGGCGATGGTTGGTATGATTATGGTGGTGTTGATCGGAAGTTGACTCCTTTTCGATACGCCAACGGAGATGGAGAAAATCGTCGACGGAGCAGGGCAGCTTGAGGGGGCCATCGGTGTGGTAGCCGTAGACCTCGTGAGCTTTGTCGAGAAGACGCTTGAAGAGAGGGTGGTAAAGGTATGAGATGGGAATGACAAATCTCTGAGAAGAGGAACCACCTTGGTCCTCGTCTTCTAACCCCACTTGAACGGCCAAGAACCCTTTCTTCACCTTCATCTTCTTGTCTTCCTGCATGGTGTCTGTGTTTATGTGAGAGAGAGAGAGAGAGAGAGATTGAGTTAGTCGAAGTGGTAAAAGCATAAGAGGAAGGGATGATATATAGGCATGGAAAGGAGTGATTTTTACTTTGGGTATGAAGAAATGGTATTATGAAGAATGTACGATATACGGAAAGAGGGTGGTGGTGGGTGGGGCAGTGGGGAGTGGAGAATTACGTGTGATGGGGTTTGGAGAGAGTGGGTAGAGAGGTCAATGATAAGAAAAGTGAGGGAATAAATAAACAGCTCTTGGGGTGAGAATGGGACACACTTCACTTCAATTAATCATGAATGGGGAAGTGGGCTTTCTCAATGACACTTTTCTTGCTTTTCCTTTCATTGGTTTATGTTGTTTGTGGTTAAAATTTAACAAGATAACATACAATAAAATACTTATGTTACCTTGTGATAATCTATTCTTTCCTCTATAATCATCTTGTCATTTCTCTATTCAATTCCCTATTTTATCTTCTTCTGAAATTATATGTTTTATTGTAAAGATATGACTAATAACATTAACATATATTTATTCTTTATCATATTCAAAGACTTGTATATTAAGAAAATACTAGTAGAGTAACACCAAATCTATATACACCTTTGTTGTTATACTGTCAATAGCTTAATGCTATCATAATAATTCATTACATCCCCATCATTCAACTTATACTTTCATAATCCATAGAAATTATACTTAAAAATTCAGTTCATCTTTTTTAACTATAGTTTGCTCCTTTAAAATTCATAAACAACATGAAAAACATTAAGAAATTTTAACTTACTACACAACTGTTAATCATGAAGAACTTAGAAAAAAAAATTAAGAATAGTAGTTATTTAAAAAATGACACTCAATTATTTTATTGGTAAAAAGTTTAATTATAAACAGATTTTATGTTAATTGAGTTTTATTTTTAGAAAAAAACTATCATTTCTATAAAAACTTTTTTCTCTAAAATATTATTTGTTTTCTCTCTAACTTTTTAAGTTTGACTCTCATCTATCTATGAATTAAAGACTATAAATGGATTTACAACAAAGAGATATACATTTTTAATCAACTAGAATCTTAAATTGTTAAACTCATCTTTCGTTATTTTTCTGAGTTTCTTTTAGTAAATCAGATGCATGTAAGAGTTATTGAGCTTGCATGTGTCATTGAGGGTATGTTAAAACTTGTTGATTTGAGTGTTTTGTGTGCCAATATTTCTTGTGTGAGTAGAGGTCTTTAGGAGCAATTAGAAAGGGAGAGGAGTGGATTGGATGTCAAAACATGGTGTTGGCAGAGAGAGCGCACTTGGTGGAACTACATCTTGTTAAAAAGAACAATTACTACAAGAGATGAGGACAATTAGCTAACAAAATTAATATCATAATTGCATATACTAATACAATTATAATAACACAATATTATGAATTAAAGTATAAGCTCATAACACTCCTATACTTAAATCAAATTCACTATACAATAACACATTGTTAATCAAAACTTCAATCCAGACAAACCATGCCACCACCACCAATCATTATTGCCATATGTCATCTTCCAAACTCCAGTACACACGATTTGTTCAGTAAAACAAGGTCTAGTCACCAAAGTAGGACTTCAAATTCACCAAAATAGGGCCTGCTCACCAAAGCAAGTCTTGCTTGTTCACTCACTAAATCAAGGCCTACTCACCAAATAGGACTTTCCTGATCACCAAAACAGGGCTCGCTCACCAAAGTAGGACTTCCTCGCATCACAGCTGGTGAGTACGTAAGACGACGTATGATCCATTGTCGCAACACAATAAACACAACAAAATGGCTTATTACACAAACATCATGGAAAAACGACCACAACACCTCATACATCAAACTACATGTTTGAGAAACACCACAACACATCACAGAAAAACACATCAAATAACTCGACAATCACTCAAAACAACTTGACACTCATTCAAAACAACCTATCAATCACATTCAATATCTCGACACATGTAAAGCATATCTTGACAACTTCATACAACAACATGGCCATAATAAAAAATAGTCATGACAACACGCCCAACAACATAGCAACAGTCTGAAAACACACCCAATAGCAAGGCAAGTTAATTTAAAGCCTGCAACAACAAACTAAACTTAAAACAGAAACAACAATATGAATTTTAAAATAGAAATAACAACCTGAATTTCAAACAGAAACAATAAACTAAATTTCAAACTAAAACAAATTGAATTTTTCAAACAGAAACAACAAAGTGAATTTCCAACAAAAACAACAAATTGAATTTCAAATGGCAACCACAACTACATACCAAATTTAAAACAACAACATCATACCAAATTTAAAACAACAATAGTCAATTACTAAACCAAACCAACATTTATATAATTTACATATTTAACAAATGTCAAAACCATGACTAGGTTAAAAAAACACAAAATTCGTCAATTTCCAAAAAGTATTTTATAAATTATAATAATACATTTTCCTTTTATATAATCTATAATTTTCTGATCCTTTGTTTGTTTGAAGTGGTTTACTATAGATTTTATGTGTGTTTATGGTAGATTTGTGATGCTTCATGAATTATAACATGGTTGTGAATATGAATGACGTATGTTGTGAAAGGAATTTCAAGGAAAAGCTTCTTATATAATGGTATCAATAGTGTATGTATTGATGTATGAATTTTGTATTAGGGGTTATCTTGATACTCTAACAATTATTCAATCTATAGTAGAAAATGGTGAGATATATGGTGAAAGGATCATAAGGTCCTAGTCTAGAGGCTTTACCTTGGCCTAAGACATTAACAGACTAACCTTGTGTGTGGTAGGGCTCAATGTTGGGTGTGCAAAGCTTCTAATATTAAAAGTTGAACGTATAAATAGAATTTCTATTAACAAGTTTCATAATCTTAAATTGCACCATCTCTCCAAAAATATTTCTTTAAGAACTCTCTACCATCTCATAAGCTTTATAATTTCTTGTTCATTTGTCTTAAGATCAGATATCGCCTAAGGGATCCTTAAGGCGAGATCTTCTACTTCATTCGATCAGATTCTACAAAAGAGGAAGGGAAGTTGTTCTAGAATCCTTAGAGTTGTTTGGGCATCTAACAGGTAAGGAAAGTTAAATACCTTGTTTTAAGTTTTGATGCCATGAGAATTTGTTCCTGCATGTTTAGTTGGTTTGAGATTGAAGGAACTGCTAAAATTGTTGGTTGAATTGTTGAGAAATCTATTTGTGTAGTATGGTTGTGATGCTTGTTTTTGTTTGAATTGGTGTTGAGTTGAAAGACAAAGGATTTGGCCATTTAAGCAAATTGGTATGCATTTTGACACTGAAACTTGTTTTTAAACCAATCACTGAGTCAAGAATATCAATTTGATCATTTGAATAGGTCCTTGGTTCCCCAAATCATAGTTTTGAATGTGCAAATTTTTTATATGGCGTTGAGCATAGCTGGTGTGGCACTAAGCGCAGCTTGGCTGTGCAAGTCTAGAAGCAATTTTGGTCCAGACTGTTAAGCGCTCACTCTTATCGTTGAACGGCCAATTTTATGAATGGTCTCGTGTTAGCGGTGAAAGAATATCGTTGAGTGCCACTTTCCACTACAAGTCTGGAACATTTTTCATCATGATTTGCTGAGCGACAAGTTGGTCTTGCTAAGCGAGACATTTTGCGAGAGTTGTGGCACTGAGCGCCAGAACTAGCATTTAATGCTCCATCTTGCAAGGGGTTTTGCACTAAGCATCACTTTGAGCATTAAAGTGGTTTTCTGTGATTTGTTTTATCCTTTGATAATTTGAAGTGGTTTATTTTAGATTTTATGAATGTTTATGGTGGATTTATGATGCTTCGTGGATTATAACATGGTTACGAGTATGAATGGTGTATGTTATGAAAAGAATTTCAAGGAGAAATTTCTTATAATGATATCAACAATGTATGCATTGATGTATAGATTCTGCATTAGGGGTTATCTTGACGCTATAATAACAAATAATTTGAAGTAGAGAAAGGTCGGGTATGTGGTGAGAGGAGCAAAAGGTCCTAGTCTAAGGGCTTTACTTTAACCTAAGACATTAATAAACTAACCTTGTGTGTTGGGTGAAAATCATTGGCAATGGCTCTGTAGAGTAATAAAGGCCACCACAACTGCATAACCAACTAGAGTCCGACATCAATACATGTATTCGGATGGTCAAGTCAAAAATGAATGATTGTATGCCTTAGGATTGGTTGATATAACTTTATATATGTGTGAACATCTATATTTTGTTGTATGAATGTTATTTTTGTAAATTATCTTACCTTTCTATCTTTGTTTGTTTGTGTGTTTGTTTTCTTGTTTACAATTTTCATCTTAATGGTGTGAGCATATATGGATGTCTCTCTTGATTAGGTATAGGATGGTGATTGTGCTTAAGTATAAATTATGATGTTTGTTCCTTTGTCTTTATCTATTTTGAAAGAATTTATTATGCTTAGTAGCATAGGATCATTGTATATATATTTTGGTGTTATAGTTATACTTAAGGATATTGGTAATAACATTTTATATGATTTTTTTAGTTAACTATCTTCGATATTGAATGTGTGATTATTTTTATAGTAGTTCAACACTATTAGAAATAGGATGTTACAAAAGTTATAGGGGGTAATCATTGTAATGGAAACGGACTCACTAAGTTTATACTCCTTTGGTATATTGTTTGCATTGTTTGGGAGCTTCCTGTTACGGTGAAACCTCTTGTGATGGTATGAACGTTTCCCTTCACCTAAGCGAGGTTAGACTACACCTAAACGTTTTTTATTTGGATTTTAGGTTGTGTAGGAGGTGGAGTGAATTGCTGAACCTGGACAGGCTGTTTAGAGTAAAGTCTAGAGATCTAGAGCACTATGTTGGGCTAATCCAACTATTCTGTACCTCAGTCTTGTCCTCCTCGCCCTTACCTCGACCATCATTGTCTCTTTGAATGAATCGAGCTAAGGCACTAGAGCAGATAAATTCTCTAATGAGA